GTTAGTTAGTTAGTTAGGTTAGTTAGTTACGTTACGTACGTAACGTAACGTAACGTAACGTAACTAAACGTAACGAACTAACAAGTAGTAAGAGAGAGAGAGAGAGAGAGAGAGAGAGAGAGGTACCTTCCAGGCCAGCAATAGCAGGAAAGTCTCAAGCCCCCAAGCTCCTCTATCCACATAATCACCATTAAAAACAAAGTACCTCTCATTAGAAGGCGGCCCAGCATCTCTGAGCAGATAGAGGACATCATGCAATTGTCCATGAACATCACCCACAACCACAACTCTGCAATTCTCAGCATCACCCACCTCAATCTTCACACAATTGGGTTCTCCATGCAAGAGCTTGGAGGCCCCCAAAACCAAACTATCAAAGACGGAAACGGGAAGAAGAGAGGGAAGCTCATGAGGAGAGAGATTCCTAGAGGACCATTCAAAAGTGAAGGCCAAGTTCTCAATCCATCCTTGGGTCAATTCCCCATGTGCAGGCCATGAGATTGGCATTGGAACTGATGAGAGAGATTTGTTTTGTGCAGCAGGAGAAACTGAAGAAGAGGAGAGAAAATTTGAAGGTGGGTTTTGTGTAGAGAGAGAAGTCGGAGATGGGTTTTGTGCAGATAGAGGAACTGAAGGTGGGTTTTGTGCAGAGAGAGAAATTGGAGATGGGCTTTGTGCACAGAAAGAAAACGAAGGGTTTGAATCTGATGGAAGAGATGGATTTGTAGAGGGAGAAGCTGAAGGCGGGCTTTGTGAGAAGGGACAAACTGAAGGTGGGTTCCATGTAGAGAGAGAAACTGGAGATGGGTTTTGTGTAGAGAGAGAAAGGGGTGAAAGAGATGATGAAGATTCTGGTATTTCGGTGAGAGAAGGGGGTTTTTCAGTTGGGCACATCTTAATGGTGGGAGTTTTGTTTGTGCTGATAAAGTTGGCCTAAGAATTCAAACCACTCCCTCCATCGTACCTGTTGCCCTTGTGATACAGGGAAAATAGGTTTGATCATTGATGCATACATATATAGATTGGATTTTCAATTGATGAGAGAGAAAGATTTTAGCATGCGATACAGAGAGTTTCGTACTCATTGCGCAGAGAGAGAGAGAGATGAGAGGGAGGGGCTGTGAGGCAGGATTAAGGTAGAGGGCGAGAAGCGGTGTATTGAAGGAGGGAGAGAGAGAGAGGGGCGGGATTTGGGGTTCGTAAAGGAAATATCGCCTCCAGTGTTCAAGCGAGATATTAGGGTCGCAATGTGCCGAACCCGGACCCGACCTGCTGGGTTTGACGTGGACCCAGACCCATCCGGGTTTGGGTCGGGTCCACATCAATTGGGTGTTGAGAAATTTAGAAGTACTAGAGGAAAAAGTTCATATAAGGTTGGCAACCTAAAAATGTAGAATCAAGGATGCACCTCAAAAATCCGAAAATGTTGTTTTAATGTTGAAAATCTAATTGATCTTCCTGATATTGAGATGTATGAATATGAAAAAAGAAAAGATTTAAAGTCTCAAAAATAGTGCATCTTGAAACACATTATCTAGACCATGAAATTTTCAAGATTTTCATATATTGATAGATCTACTTGATTTTAATCATTTTTGGAGTTTAAAATTTTATAACTAGATATGAAAATCGATTTTGAGATGATCGTAGTAATTTTTAATACCCAAATCACATGTTATGATAAAATTTGGAGGTGCGCCTTAATTGGATTGTTTGAGGTTACAAGCTTATAAAAACCACACCCTATACAATAAGACCGTTTAACTTCGGTACAAGTAAGTTACAATTACTTATAACCAACTGATGTGAAATATGAGAGCTTGAGTGCGTCATAAAGTTCGAGAAAGTTTCATTTGAACTTTGACCTTGATCGATAGAATAAATGCAGTCAACCAATTTAACATCTAAAAGTCAACATTAATTGTGACCATTTTATATTAAAGGATTATATATAATGAGATCATTTACCTTTGGTACAAATAGGTCACAGTTATTTACAACCATTTAGGTTGGGTGTGTCACAAAGTTCGAGAAAATTTCATTAGAACTTTGAGCATGGTCAATAAAATAAATGCAGCCACCTAATTTCATATCTAATGGTCAATATCAATTGTGACCACCTTGTACCAAAGGTAAATTATCTCATTATATATTTTCCCTTACATTAAATGTAAATGATCTCATGGTATGTGTTTAAAAAAGATATAATATTTATTTTATATATTGTATCTTACATATTTTATACTAGGTTGGCTTGATTCCTATCTAGACTCAAGCCCCGACTTGGGTTGGGTCCAGGTCATTTGGATCCAAACCTAATCCAACACATGAACCCAGACGCAGACCCAAACATGGATACATAGCAATCGGGTTGACCTGACTCCCATCTACCCCTATGTAAACTCTAATGGTGTACAAAAGGGATAGGGCAGTTTTGTACAAGGGATGGAAAAGTTTTTGTTTTCAGGCAGTCCAAGTTGGGGAAGGAATTTAGTATGTACGGTAGGTATGAAACATAAGACATTATGTTGTGATTGTTCCAAAAAAAAAAAAAGACATTATATTGTGGTGCACTTTATGGTGCCATGTTTGCCTGACTACCTAGCCTTGAGCACAATATTAAGCGATAAAAAAATCCTTCGATTATCGTGATCGTACAAATCAAGTAAATAATACTTAAAAGTCTTGAAGACTTGAAAACAAATGGTTCAGATAATATGTTACTAGATGTGTTATTTTTTTAATTTGAATTTCTTTTTTCTTTCTTATATATAAATCTTGAGTTCAAGTTGGTGGGAGGATTCATGCATCTTTGCATGTTTGCGGTTTGTGTTCCTATACTTGTGGTCATTGTTTCCATACGTTATTTCTCATACTCCTATTACGATTTGTATTAGCCTATTTTGTTTTAGGTGAGGTTATACGAGTCGATCATCCATCTCCAAATTCGTTCACTAAAGTTTGTGTGTGGGCACTCAGGTATGATACTCAAGTCCCAGTTATTTATTTTGCTTCCGCTTCAGCCATTGGATTAACCGTTGGATCGGTTATTCCAACAATATTGAAAAAACAAGCATAAGTGGTTGCATAGTTTTAACAAGGCCATTGCTTGTTTGGAAACCTCTTCATACTCAAATATATATAAGATTATTGCTCAAAAAAAAAATTATCATCTCATAGATAATCAATTCACAATCGTTTTTGTTGAAGTTTGAGCTGAAAAGACCCCAAATGAGAGAGATATGACCAAAATAAAGACTAAATATCGCGTTGTATGTTATTGACCTTGCAGGAAAGGAAGTGCATTTTATCAGTGTTTCGCTCAGTGGTGGTGAATTGCATTCCACTAAATGCGGCCATATTCACCCTCCTTTTGTACCTCCCCTCCAAATTTTAGGCCAAACGATGTCTGATTGACTTAAGATTTGGACGGTGGGTAAAAAAACCTATGGAGTAACATTCCAAGACCCCTAAGGGGTTTGTAGCAGACATGTTTGATCATGAGGCATTTGACGCATGGGGGGTTTGAATCTCATGGATTTTGGCATCGAGGTTTCCTTTGCCATACTTTGATAATCCCTGAGTTTGATCCCATTTTTATATCATTTGGTAGGGTACTCAATGGATGCATCATTATCAAGCGGTTTGGTGGATGCTACAATATCCACTCTTGAATTTACAGAATTCCTCTGAAAAAAAAAAATATCCACTCTTGAAGGTGGTCCTCAAATCACGGCTGGGGTTGAGTACTAGGCTGATGCCCGTGTTGAGTATTCGACCCAAGTCCCAGTAACTCAGCTCTTTGTAGGGCTGAGTACTGTAGCAGGAAAAAAAAAATGTTAAATATCTAAAATATTAAAAAATCAAAAAATATATGTATTGAAAAGTAAAATTAAGCAAAACACATCTAAATAAGGTTAAAAAAATAACAAAAAATGGTGTTTGAGAAAACAAATCAATATCTGAATGAGGGTGTTTTAGAAATAATCCAAAAAGAAGGAAATTTGTTAAAATAAGTATCGATAGCCAAAATATTTTCCAATCTTTTCCAACATAATAAACATATAAAAATATATATTGTAAATAAATTATTATTTTTTTAATATATATAATTTTTAAAATTTTCTCTTATATCTCCGAATGAGACACACAACTCGGAGAAACTAGAGCTTTCCAAGATAGTGAGCCAAGTACTCGGCCCGAGTATTCTTAGATCGGACCGAGTAGTCAACCCTGCCTGAAGGCTGCACGATTGTTGAGATGCCCATCGCTAGGTTTTGTGCCTCTGTTGTCAGGAGAATGTCACCATTTGTGATCGGTTCACATATGGGCCAATTTGATGCTAGTTTGGCATGTTTGTGAATCAAGTTATCCAAAATAGGCCCACACACCAATTCCTAAGCCACACCACACATAATTTACAAAGAGAATCCTCATGTGTTCCTTATTACAGAAACTCCAAAACAAAAGAAATAGATAAGACATATACTAAAGGGATGAATGTGACTTGTGCGAGATGTTCATTAATGCATTGCAAGAAAAGGTTAAGAGAGGTTGACACTTTTTGTATCAGGAGCTTAAGAAAAAAGATCTACTAGCTGATGGAGTAGTGTAAGTTCAATAGTCTAGATTGAATCTGGGTAGATTAAAAGGTCATAATTGTATTTTATATTTGAATTTTACATTTTTTTTATATAAATTAAAATCACTTGAAATTTGGAGAGTAGATTCTTCTCGTCAAGACGCACCTAATAAAAAAATTTTACAAATATTATTCATAAAAATAATTTGATCAAAATACCCCTGTAACTTTTAAGGGTATTTTGAGTAATTTATTTTTTGTAAATTATTTTTTAATATTTTATTAGGTTCGCCTATTTTTTAATAGTAGTTTCTCAAAATTTTAAATGAACTATATATATATATATATATATATATATATATATATATTAAACTTAA